ACTTTATGAAATGCAAGTTTTTTGCATCTTGAATTAGGCTAATATTGTTACCCTTTGAGCTTAATTGAAATCTTGTTAGTACAATTTTCTATTCACCAATCTATGTGGCCGCACTAGTGATATTAAATTCAGGTTCAATTAAATAAATCACGTAATTTCACATTTAATTGAACATATCACATAATACCACATAAATTAGTTCTCTACACTATTGGTTCTAGATAATATTATTCTAAAAGTAAGTGTCAAAATTCAGTTTTGAGAGTTGAAAAAGAGTGTCTGCAAAATTTTAGAAAGGTAGATTCTGCTTATCCACTTTTATACCTCAGAAGCCATAAAAATGAGTAGTGAAAATTTAATTTGTTTGTGAGTAAGACTATTTGTACAAGGAAAAGAGAGTGGACACATTAGGATCTTGATTATTATGTTGTTAAGAGTTATAGCTTATAAGTTTTAAAACCATAACACATTCGCTCCTAGGCTCGTCTCAGCTAGTCCCACGTTGGGATACTTGAGGCCTAGAGACGGGCTATAGAGAAATGTGGTGGAAAGAGTCCCGAACACCTCTCTCAAACTTGCTTAATCGAATTGACACCACTGCCTACCACCATGACTAATAATAAGCAGACTATAAATCATGATAGATTTGTGATGTCTTGCTAGAATTTCTTTATTATCTACTCACAATACTGGAGACAGATCTTGCTATGTCATAATGAAAGCCTCAAATCTTGGATTTTGAATTTAATGTGTTGCCATATTTATTCAGCAAATCACATTTTTCATACAGTGTTTTAGATAGCGCGCCTAGGCACAGCAAAACGCTTTACATTGACAGTAAGCATGAATTAAGCAGTCAACTATTGAGTTGACCACTTAATTCGGAGCTAGGCCCACTTTATTAATTTTTTTATTTTTTCCTTTTTTAAAAACATTTTATTTGACTTTAGTTTATTAAATTTTTTTCCTTTTTTTTGAAAGATTTTTATTTGAATTTAGTTTCAAGTTTTTAAATGACTTTATCTGTACAAAGGTAAAAAAAATGGCTTAATCCAATAAAGATTTAAATAAGATTTAAGTTGAAGTGCTATTAATTGTAAACTAGAGAGAACAAAAAAAAGAAAAATCAATAAACTTGTGTGTTTTTAATAAAAACTAAAGCCTCATATTTATTAGGAAAATTAGGGCTACAAGGGATACAACAATTATAATAACTAGGATCGTAGGAGTATAAAAGTCATTCTTAAATACTATTAAATTTACAACACTCTCCCTTGAATGACTATTTATATAATAACTATTTCATTGAAACATTATTTAGCAAAAACTGGATTGGACAAAAATGCTAACAAATGAAAAAATAGTACAAATAATTCAAAGTAATAAAATGCTACATTGTTAAAACATTGTCAAGAAAATCCAATTGAATAAAACTTGATCAAAGAAAAAAGAGTATAGAGCTCCTTCTGATTTCGATTCTTGTATTAAGCAATTCATACCTTGTATATTGCTGGCAATGGCGCGGGTGCATTTTTCCGCCCCGTTACCCGTTGAAGGCGGGGTAGGGCGTTTGCCCCGTTTACGTACCCATTTAATTTTTTTAAGCTTTTGATAATTCATTTTATTGCCCATATTCATTAAAGTGAGACAATAATATAATTATTAAATTTTTAATTAATTAATTTATTTTTTAAAGTTAAATTATTCGAATATATTTGGTAAATTAATATCTTTATTGTTAAACATATTTTTTAGATAATCTTAGTTGTCATATTCTAGTAGAAATAATGAACTTTTGTGGAGTTTTTCATTTAAAGTATTGAATTCTAAAATAAATAAATAAATAAATGGGGCAAGGCGGGTTGGGGCACCTGTTACCCGTACCCGTCCCGGGACGAAATTCCACATCCCGTCCATGACTCCATTACCTGATTAAGTAGGTAACCCTCATTCTGCTTTGGACGGGACCCGCGAATATCGAGGTTGACGGGTTTTTGTTGCCATCACTAATTTTGCATGTCAATGTCTTTAATATTGATATCTTGTATGTCAATATCTTCAAAAAAATTCAGTAGGACAAATTTTGATAAATGTACTTACTTTTGAATCTCTTATTAATCTTTTTTGGACTCGGGAGTCTCATACATATTAAAGTATAATTTTGAGGGTAAATGTCTTGTATGTGATGGGCATTCATTATACCAAGAATATGCCTTGTTAAAATTTTATTAGGAAAAATCCAATGGAAAAAATTTTAATGAAGGAGAAATAGTACATGTATTCTTTTAAGTACGCTGTAAAAGTTGTCTCATTAAAAATATTGTCAAGAAAATTGAATTGAGCAAAACCTTGATTAAGGGAAATAGAGTTCAACACATATTTGCTTCTCCTCATAATAATATCACTTAAATTATGCTTCGAGCATAATAAATCTTTCAGTGATAGTATTAAAATTATATAAGATAAGTTTACTATAACACATTGATTATACGCATATGAAATTTCATGCACTGTCACGCTAACAAGGTAGAGACTTGTTATTACATCCACCACATGATCACTATCTATTTGTATAAGTTTTCATGAAATTTATTATGTAAAGAGTCATAGATTTCATATTACGACTTTGCTTGTTTAATTTCATTTTGCAAAAGTACACGCATTTAAGTATTCAAATGGTGGATTCAGAAACTTCAGAATTCTTTAGTAAGTCCAATTATACTAGAATAGCGTCAAGAAACTTCAGGTTTCTTTAGTAAATTCAATTTTTGTATGGTAGTGTCATTTTATTTCGATTCCTTTCTATTTATAATATAATGCAGTACGTCATGTGCAAAAGTGTTGACTACTTTTTTCTTTTCAATTCTATTTCTTTCTTTATAATGACATAACTTATTAAAATATCTCAATTTTCAATATATCATGTACCTGAACCTCTTCTGAAATTTTATAAATTGTTTTGTCTAAAAACTTATCAAGAGTATATTTATCTTTGATGGGACCATCTTTACTAATTGTCCATTTTGCTTGGAGATTTTTATATTAGAATCAAATACATCACGTTTCAAGTGTGCTATAAAATTTATCAAATATAATATTAACTGCTTGTCCTCCAAGATGTTAATTCGAGTTGGAGCATTTAAAGGTAATATATAAAATATTGTTGACATCTTTGATTAGTAAATGCATCTAAGCGAGTCATCGTTCGAACTTCTTGTTCAAATTATCTTTTGTGAGAATTTCTATAATGATGCATTTGTACATTATTTTTTACTTCTTAATTACTCCCTCTAGTATTGAGAGAATTGTTCAATGAAATTGATAACCAGCCAATCGCTTTATGATATATCACCCGTTATGATTTGAAATATTATACAACAATTCAAAATTCTTATTTATTCTCAACATTTTTTTATTTTTCATCTCAGTGCATTATGATGGATCAATTTTATATATACTACACGATCAAAATAAATAGAGGAAAAAAATTAGGCAATGACTATAAGTCAATTATAATAGGAAAAGCTATAATGTTGACATGATGATATGTAATAGATTTCCCTAAACAGAAATTTTAAGTATTTTGTTCTCAATCAAATTAATTGGTGGTAGTTAAATCATTCAGCGACATATCTACTAACACTTATTAAAAAGGTTGAGATTTAGCATAACTAGCATTAACAAGATACATCGCCTTGATTGTATAATCTGAAAAGTATGCTCATAATTTAAATTTGAGCAATGATTTCACAAATTTCAAGTTGCGAATGCCATGCAATCTCCAATAGATGTATCAAATCTATTAGATATAAATAATATTTAGATGTCAACATGGAAGGTAACAACCCCATTTAGCATCGTGATTAATTTTCAGAAATATAGTAAATTCAATCCTTATTTTAACTAGTTATAATCAATTTTAGAACAAATAATATATAAAAATTAATTGGATTGAAGAGTCTTTAGGTTCTTCGTTGAATGTTCATTTGAAATTTCAATTTCGCATAATTATTAATTTGGTAGTGGTCCAACTAGTTATGTCAAACAATAAAATTAAATTGAATTTCTACTTCAATATAAGATATAATTCAATTATTTCGTTTCGAAGAATATGATTAAATATTATGTATTCATATAACAATCGATCAAGTAGACAAACTAATAAATGTCAATATGATATGAGTTATATATTTTTCTTCAAGAATAAATATAAATTCAAAATGACATATTTTTCGAAGCATATGCTACTTTAAGAGCACGTTGCGTATTATTATTGCTTCTTCAAGAACACTATGTCAATATTTTTCTAGAAAATTGGAATCTAATTCTATGCTTTTCAGGAACTATAATATATTATTATTTAAAAAATATAAATTATGTAAAGATTTTCTCTTCAGGAGCAGAAACATAATTTATGTTAAATTTTATTAAATTATACTCTTCAGGAACAAATAAAATCTAACTAGAACTTTAATTATGTACTATTTTAAAAGCAAAAAAAATTTCATTTAGAATATATATAATGTTGTGCTAATTTGAGAACAACATCAAACTATTATTTAGAAGCATTAGCTTTTCGAAGCATATTTTCTAATAGAACATTAATATTTATAGAGTTGTGCTTTTCAAGAACAACGTGATAAATTATTTAATCAGATTGAAGACATAAGGAATATTCAATAATCATTGTAAATGTATATATTTTTAAACATTAAGAAAAATAAAGCATTGAACATATTCCATAATTACATGGCACCAAACTTTTAAAATTAATGTAATATATAATAACATTGAAGAGGATAGTGCCTAATAATAATAATAATAATAATCAAATGGTTGCAACCTGTTGATGAATTGAAAGGAGGCGGCAGGTCCGGGCAGTTTACTTCGACGACCGGGCAGTTTACTTCGACGACTCCGCTACAGGTACAGGAAACTTATTACCGAATTGGTACAGAAATTTAAATATGCTGAGGTGGATTTAAAAAAAAAAAAGAAAAAAAAAGACCAAATCCTGCAATAACAACTCAAAAGGGCACAAAATCTTCCCCCAACTCCAGACTGCTTCCTTGTCGCCCTCGATTCGCCGATGACCTTACCAAGCACCAACCGAAGCGAAATCGGCCGCCGAACTAACCGTCTGACAATGAAATCGGTTGCCACCAAAACCTGAACTTCAGAGCAGTGGCGAAGTGGCGACGAAGGGAAATGTTAGCCCACAGTGAAATCGACCGCTGCAATCTGAAACCAACGTGAAATTGACGGTCGCACTACCTCTCCCTGAGTTCGGTGACTCCTCTAGTTGCGAAATCTGTTGCAAACAATTTTATAAGTCTCCTTCGGTAATTGGGTTTTTATAAATCTAGTGCAAAAATTTTTATAAGTCTCCTTCGATAAGTGGGTTTTTATAAATCTACTGCAAACAATTAGTTTCCAGCTTTGTATATTGCTTACTGATTTCGGTGCAAGTCATGTTGTAAAAATTTTGAATTTACCAGACATTTTTCCTTTGTATATTGCTTACTGGTTTCGGTGGAAGTGATCTTGTAAAAATTTTTGAATTTACCAGACATTTTTCTATTCGTAAGATAGTTGCCTTTACTGCTAGTTAATAATTGTAAGATACGTATGTGCTGGGATAGCAATTTCGTGTATAAGCTGTTAGATTAAAAGAAATGTGGCCTTTTTTCTATCTGTCTATTGAATCGAATTGGAATGGAATGCTTCAGTTGTACGCTCTGGAATGATTCAATTGTATGCTCTTGAGTTTGTAACTGAGGACATTGTTGTTTCATTTGCAGTTAGTCATCCAGTAGAATGAGATGAAGAAATTTTGGAGTTTGTCATGGATGTAGAAGCAACACTCACTATTTCGGACAATGCCCATCAAAACAACGATGCCCTAGTTGTGACCATGGATATCGGAAATGTTTTGAGGTTGAATAGGATACCGGTAACAAAGGGCGTTGGTTCCTCACCTGTAGCGATGAGTGTGGGTACTTTGATTGGGTGAAAGATAAAGATGTAGGCAAGGAATCGAGTTCTGTTAATCGTCCTGTGAATGATGCACCGAACAAGGAAGACGAAGAGTTGCCAAGACTATTTGATGGACTAGCGAGAATTAGTGAGAAACGAGGGATAGACATATCACTGCACATGACTTTTAGCAAGGGAAAAGAAATTGTGAAATGTGATGAGCAAAAAAAGGGGTCGGGTTGAAGGGATTATTTATGTAAGTGGTCGATGAATTCGTGTCTTTTTTATTGGGTACAAATGTTGTAGTTCCTCTTTTAGATTGTTTTCCAGCATATGTAATTAGGTCTTTGCAATTTGTGTATCAACAACTTTGCTCTCAAATAGATCACATTTGTTCCCCACCAAAAGATTGCATACACTGTCATTTACATAGCTATCAATCTCATTAAGCCATTGCTTAACATTGTTGAAGCTTTCCATTTCAGTTACATCGTACACAGTCTGTTGCAATTAAGTAAATGTGAGATTGTTCCTATCATGAATGGAAACAAAGCAAAACCGCATTGAGTGAGTAAAGATGGCAAAGAAAAACTATTACTACTAAGAAAGCAAAAAAAGAACAGTAATGTATTTAGGTAGGTAAAGATGGCACAAAATCATTGAAAGCACAAATCGTATAAATTACCAACTGATTTAATGACATTGAGAATAACACAGAACATATCTTTGTAATTATGAACTTTTATTTTCATGTGTTGGGAAATAAAACTTTATAAAGTGGGCAAACAATACAAAATATTTGCCATAAATCCCATAAATGGTATTAACTCTTACGAACATATGTAATTAGGTCTATGTAATAAACGGTATTAACTCTTACAAACATAATCATTTGAAGTCATAATACTCACAACGACAAACAATTTGATGTTTAGCTTTCAAAATAACAAAAAAAAAGTGTGTATTAGATGGGGACTTTTACAATAGCAAAACAAATTCCAAAACAAATTCCTTCTCAATTCCCACAGAAGCACGCCTAGAAAGAGAGGCTCCATTTCCTTTTTCGTCTCCACCAATTTCGAAATGCTTGCACCTCTGTAAACATCGTGATGATAAAATAATCGTAAATATCGTTGATATGTTTCATAAAGAAAATTACATTAAATATATATATATATATAAACCTTTGGTTTACACAAACCTTCCGAGCGAGAATCACATGCCCGTGCCACCTTAATCGGGCAAATGTGGATACAAGTATGGCATGACTAGACTTGTGTTCGAAAGTGCAAAAAAATGCACAAAACTGAAATAAGGATACTACACAAAAAAATTACTAAACAAACTTGAGAAATAACATTCCAATTTCCGGACTCCAATTTCATTTATTTATTGGCATCATCAAACAATACGTTATTTCGTTGTCAAGTTATGCTCTAAAAAATTGTTTTTTTTGGATCAAATATCAGAGCCTATTTTTGGATCAAATATCAAAATTCCTTAATCCGATCGACCATAAACCTAATTTGGCATCTACATACAGAATTTTTAGTAACATTTTCTAGTAAAAACAAAAATGCATTCAGATAGTCCCGATTAAATGTGACCGTCAAATGTATAATTCTTGTTGCAGACCACGTGATAGCTAGCTAATTAGATTATCAAGCCGTGCCTTTAGATGCCTCTACTAATTGCCTCCAACATTTCCTTCGATAAAATTTCCAGCCATAGACTAATCCAGGCTCAAAAACCCACAGAAGTAGGGTGAAAAGTACCTATGAAACGAGCCAATTGCAAAAACTGTTCTTGAAGTTTTTCGAAACCAGTTCTTTAAATGTGTTTTACCCTATTAGTTAAAATATCATATGCTCCAAAAGAGTGACATTAATTAATAATTGTTTTTTTTCTTTGGACCCCAAAAACCTAAGACAGACATTCAATAACTAAGATAAACAAAAGGCACATATTCAATGCTAAATGGAAATCATACCATTGGAAAACATAGTCACATGTAATGAAAATCATACCTTTCAATGCTAAATGGAGAGGCATACCTTGAGCATTAAGTGCAACATTTGGGGGCGTCGGCAGAATGAAACATTGCAATGGCGTCGGCATAGAACGTTGTGGAAGTTGAGCTGCCTGAACATCGATTGACGTCTCTTCTGTATTACTACATCGAACTGTAGGTCTTTTTCCTTTGCTCAATGATGCGGAGGCCTACACGTTGGACAAGTAAAACAATTATTAGTTTCAAAATGCCAACTCTACGAAGCTAATAATAGTAAGAAATTACCTTTGATCTATTTGAGCTGGCCTCCAATGGGCTTTTCCTCCGAAATTTCCTCGGTGCTCCCTTTCGTTTACACGATGCTGGATCTAATAGGTGCGCATTGCTACTTGCCATTTGGATCTGACCAGTGCTCCCTATACTTGACTTTGTAATCCACAATTCGTTTGCTTGCGATCTTATCCACTCCATTACACTACATGCCCGTCCCTCATCGTCTGCTGCAAGGTCCGCCACCTCCGAAAAAGCCTGACACATTTCGTCATACCTAAGCTGTCCAAGAGTACTTGCCAGTCCATCGTAGTTTACTGCGATCCTAGTGTGTGCTCTACTGACATCTCTTCTCCATCTCTTTATTATATACCGATGAGGCATCGAGAAAATTTTATTACGAAACAAGACCGCAATCGCATGCCTACAAATGATTCCCCAAAATTCGAATAGGTGGCAGCTACAAATCAATTCGCACGTATCCCTCCGAAATGACATGGTAAAAGTTTTCATCTTCTGGTGATCATGAAGTGCGACATGCTCATGAACATCATAAGTCGACCATTAGTAATCATTTGCACTTTCAGATATAACGTCGCAATATACCTTCCCAGTGATCTCACCCTGAACTTCTTTGAACTTTGAAATGGTATAAGCTGCTTGAAATTGCTTTTCCATTTCGAAAAGCGTCGCACATGGTACCATTTGAGAATACGATTTGAAATCAGTCCGGAACTCCTTCTCTACCTTATTTCGTAGTGCTCTCTCGTACTACTCGACGAACTGCTTCAGTGAGGTCTTCGAATGCACATAACCATCAAAAATGCATTCATACTCTCACTTTGTTGTGAAGTAGACATGCTTGCCCAGAAGGTGGGTTTCAACAAACAAGGCACCCAACGAGCTCTGTTCTCATACAACCTAGCTAACCAATCATTATCATGTAACTCGTATGTTTCGAGCATCAACCTCCAACCTTCTTCGAATTCTTGACCATTGTCGGAATCATACACCAATTCATGAATTGCAGAAAATATCGAGCTCTTCTGAATGTGATATCCGAACTTTTCTGACAACTTCTTCATAATGTGCCACAGACACCATCTATGCTTCGTGTTCAAAAAAACAATATCAACTGCATTTTGCATTGCCCGATCTTGATCAGTAAAAATTGCATTAGGAGCTTGTCCATGCATACACTCAAACCATATTCTAAACAACCACACAAAAGTCCCAGTGTCCTCATTCGATAACAGTCCGCAGCCCAATAATATGGACTGTCCATGATGATTCACCCCAACAAAAGGGGCAAACGGCATGTCGTACTTATTAGTCAAATAGGTAGTATCGAAAGTGACGACATCACCGAATTCCTTGTAAGACTGCCTACATCTGTGATCTGCCCAAAAAACATTCTTTAGCCGACACTCCTCATCAAAGTCCATACTAAAGAAAAATTCCGAGCACCGTGCTTGCATCTTTGAAAAGTATGCCTGTATTGCGAGGGCGTCTCCTTTTCCAAGTCGTAATCGTCTGACTTGTTCCACGTCGTTCCGACAATCCTTTTCCACAAAAGTTGTATTCTCGTATCCACCAGCTTCCACAACTGCGGAGTTATAAATCTTGTGCAACGAAATGCTTGCCATATCGTTCACTTCAAGCTTCATTTTCAAATTTGCACTCAATTTTCGGTTGCATCAATATAACCTAGACTTCGAAAGACTCGTTTTATGGTTGTGATCGAGGTGTACTTTATTAATTCTCCAAACTCCAAGAATATCTAAAGATGCAGATATCCTTGCTTTACAGTCTGTTTGACTTGTTGGTTGAGGCTTCAAGGATCCGCTTGTGGCATAACTTCTTCGACCTTCATGACTCCATGTGAACGTCACATATCTCATAACTCCATCTTCCCCTTTTTTGGAATTCCTTTTTCTCACCAGAAATCCTACGGCATAAGCATATCTTTTATAAAACTCAAACATTTCTTTCTCATCGTTGAACATCATACCCACCACAGCTACGGTCACATCATCTCCTCCTATATTTTCGCTATCCAATGTGTTCAAATTCTCTACAACATTCTCATTATCACATTCCAACAACGAATCTCCATTGCCGTCTTCCATAATCTCCTTTCCTGCCACAATAAAAATGTTCACTTCACATCTAAGCATGCAATTAACCTATTACTTCATATAAGAGTAAATGGGTTTGTACCAATTGGTACAGAAATTTAAACATACTGCCCATTCTCTAGGACCCTACAAAATGTTTGTTTGAAAAATATTTGGAAGATGACTGTTTGTTGTTATACATGCTGCCTATTCTCTGTGACCCTACAATGTCTCTTTATTAATGAAATTCATCAATTTGTCATCAACTCTGTTAATGCAGAACCACTTAAATTTGCATGTTTTTTGACTTTTATCTTTTGTTCATTATATTATTTGTTGGTGGAATAAAATACCAGAGAGAGTAAAGCTTAGAAGTTCATGTCGAGATTAATAAATTGCTAGATGTTTGGCAGCCAGAGTTCAAAATTCTACATAAATTTTGCTGTAAATTTTGAGAAAACAAAGAAGGAACAATCTCGTTGATATGTTTCATAGAAGAATACGAATTGACAGAAGATCCAGGTTTTGCATGAAGATTGAAAATACCCACTTACCGAACGTTTGCTGCAGATTCTACAACTGAAGGAGATGCTCATAAAATTGTTTTCAGCTGATGTTCCGCAATTGGAGGAGTTGTGACCGTCGATTTCACCTTGGGTTTAGATTGCAACGTCGATTCACCTTCTGTTTGGGTTTCCCTTCATCGATTTCACTGTTTGACTATAGACGGCTAGGGAGATTCCCACTTCATGTTCGACCGGAGATGTGGAGTATATGTTAATGGGTTTATCAGCCGGAGATGTGTCGAGTTGTTGGTGGGTTTCTCTATTGTTTGAGATGTTGAAATCTCGCAATTTTGGTGGCGGGTTGTCTCTTCTTCCGTAGGTAAGAGACTTTGTTCCTGCTTTTTCCATCTTTTTTTATTCAACATTTTTTCCATTACTCGTTGACGTCCTCTGTCTGAAATAGTCGGGCCCTTTGCCATGTCATTCATTTTGAATCCCTGTGAGGTTTCTGTCAAGGGCGATGCTGCTTGCACAGGAATGTGGGGTCCACTCCCATGTCTCAGAGCCTGTGCACAGGCCCCTGTACAAGCAGAAATATTGTTCTGTCAAATGGGTCTGTACCTATAGCTAAATTCTTAGTTTGAGGGGAGAATGGCGTACTGTAAAGTCCACAGTTGTGAGAGAAATTGGCACGAATTCTTTCACAAAAATTTGTCAACGATGTGGTAGACTTTAAAAAGTAATGGTTTCTTCCAAACTAAAATAATGATGGCAGAAGTAAAAGTGATAACTTTGGCACGAATTGACAACTTCAGAATTTGGTAAACAAATTTGGACGTGTTGTATATATAGAATTCACATGTCACCAAATAACACGTGATATATTATTATACTTATAAAAGATTACAATTTTCTAACTAATTCACTTTAATTTTTGAAAGACTCATGTTGATAATGGATATAAACTAGTAGAGATGGCAATGGGAAGGACTTGGGACAGGGCTGGGCGGTGGCTTGCTGCGTTCTTTATTTATTTATACATTTTCAAAAATTTCTTAAAACTAGTTTACTTCTTTTTCTGATTTCTGGGGGAAAACAAAATTAAACTTTAATTTCACTTCAAACTGAATTTTATTTTATTTTCTTTTTATCTGGGTTTCGTTAAAAATGAAAAAAATTTAATCATAGCTCTGAATATGGCGGGAGCTCAAGGAAATTTCAATCTTGCTTTTCATGTTAATCAGTTTTTGGTAAATGTACAAGAACAAGAGGCTGATGAATTTGCGAAATCTTAGCAAGTCATAAACAAATATTACTTTTGATCCTTATAGCAATATTAAATGTAAGATGTAAAATAATTGGGATCATGAAATGCTACCTATGAATTATGAGCTTTGCTACAGTTACCCAGAATTTGACACTCCAGATAACCTGCTATTCACATGGGGTCGGGTGCTCACGCCAATAAATGTGTGGGGCTCGAGAGAGAAGCAAATAAACTCGTGTATTTTATTAAAAATTAAAACCCCATATTTATAGAGAAAAATTAGGATTACAAGGAATACAACAGACATAATGACTAAGTACTAATTGCAACCTATTGGCGAATTGAAAGGAGGCGACGAGTTCAAGCATTTACTTCAAAGGCAAAATTGCACATTGTAAAAGTCAACAGTCAAGCGAGAAATTGGTACGAATTCCCACACAAAATCTGTCAACTATGTGGTAGAATTTAAAAGGTAGCTTAAATGAATTGAAGAAGGAATGATTGCTTCCAAAGAACTCTTCTTGTTGTATCCGTTATTTGACATGGTCCTTGACAGAAGGAGGTGGAATTACTGATTAAAATACACAAATTAATTCTTGTACAAGCAAGTTGGCAACCACTAAAGAATTAAAAAATATTTATTTTGAATCCAAAAAACTGGGCCTCCTTTACCTTTCCCTACCCGACCCTATACGCCCAAAACAAGAATAATCCTTTGAACTTGAATATCAGACAAGGTGCGAAATTGGAGGAGGTCTCTTAGGCGCGAACTTGCATACCCTCTTCGAGCGAAATACGGGCCATCTTCTCCAAATTTCACCATTTGCAGTGCCAAAAAATTTCAGACAGATATTGGAAGGAGTTAATCGAAAATGGCAGACAAAGGTAAGGATATTTTCTGATTTTCAAATTTCTGTAACATCGGCTAGAATGGTGGACTTTATTCTTGAGTTAATCATAAACTTGCATTTATAGTTGTTGAATCTCATAATGTACTGTGAAGAAAACATTGTTTCGATTCAATGTTGGATGACATTTTTTTGTCAAAAATTTACAAATTGTGGTAATGAGTATTTTTTCGTGTTGTCAAAAATAAAATGTGCTAGAAATGGTTCTTGTTAGGGAATGAAAAACTTGTGTTAATAGTCATTGAAACTTTTTGTTTGTTGTGAAAAATAATTTTTGGTCCAATGTTGGTTGACATTATTTTTAGAGAGAAAGTTACAGTTCGGTTAAATAATTTTCCCGACGAAATTTATATGTATTGTGGAAAAATCATTATTGCAAATGATTTTACGTTTACGTTGCAGGGAAAGATATGTTGGAGAATTTAGATGACATTATTTTGGTAGAATCTAAGTCTGAGAATGTTGTGGAGAAAGTGAACTTATTGGGTGATGAAATTGTAGCAAGAGATGATGTGCCTTTGCGAGTGCCTGAGGTTGGAATGAAGTTCAATGATGAAAATGAATTGTTTGACTACTACAAAAAATTTGAATACGCCTAAGGTTTTCCAGTTAGGAAAAGAAATTCCAAAAAGGACGACGATGATGTTGTGAGATATGTCACATTGACTTGTAGTCGTGAAGGAAAAAGAAGTACTACAATTGGTTCTTTAAAACCGCAACCAACCATTCAGACAAGTTGTAAGGCGAGGTTGACTGCATCTATGGACAGTCGCGGAATATGGAGAATAAACACAGTAAATTTGGAACATAATCATAAAAAAAGTCCATCCAAGTCGAGACTATATCAATGTAATCGAGAGTTGAGAGCTCATGTTAAACGGCGGCTAGAAGTTAATGATATGGTAGGAATTCCATTACATAAAAGTTTCAACTCTGCAATAGTCGAAGCAGGTGGATACGAAAATATGATGTGCATGGAAAAGGATTGTCGAAACTCTGTTGAACAAGTTCGGCGTCTGAGACTTGGAGAAGGGGATACTGCAGCAATACAATCATACTTTTCGAAAATGCAAGCCGGTTACGCTGGGTTTTACTTCAGTATGGATCTAGACAAAGATTCGAGGCTGAAGAATGCGTTTTTGGCAGATAATAGGAGTAGGCAGGAGTATAAAGAGTTTAGTGATGTCGTCACATTCGATACCGCATACGTCACCAATAAGTATGACATGCCGTTTGCTCCTTTTGTTGGAATTAATCATCATGGATAATCTACCCTACTTGAATGTAGGCTGGTCTCGAATGAGGATACAGATACATTCGTCTAGCTGTTTAGGACATGGCTATAATGTATGCATGGAAAAGCTCCCCAGGGTATAATTACTGATCAAGACAAGGCAATGCGGAATGCAATTGCAATTGTGTTCCCCGATACGAAACATAGATGGTGTTTGTGGTATATATTGAAAAGGTTACCGGAGAAGTTTGAATACCACGTGGACAAGGGTTTAATTTTTCATGCTATACACGATTTGGTTTATGATTCACAATTTGTTCAAGAATTTGAAGATGGATGGAGGGTAATGATTGATACATATGATTTGCATGATAATGCATGATTGTCGAGACTGTATGATAACAGATGCCGATGGGTTTTGTGTTATTTCAAAACCAGCTTCTGGGCAGGAATGTCTACAACTCAACGCAGTGAGTATGAACGCGTTCTTTGATGGCTATGAGCATTCAAAGATTTCGTTAAAGCAGTTTGTCGAACAATATGAACGGGCTTTGAAGAATAAAGTTGAGAAGAAGATTCAAGCTGATTTCAAGTCTTTCTCACAAATGGTGCCATGTGCGACGAGGAATGAAATGGAGAAGCAATTTCAAGCTGTATACACCATTGCAAAGTTTAGAGAAGTCCAAGAAGAGTTCACCAGGAAGCTTTATTGTGACTTAATCTCGACTTCGGAGGGAAGTTCGGGGACAACATATGAGGTATGCTAGGAACAAATAAACGATGAGCAATCGCACAGAAAAAACGTTCTTCGTATCTTTTCAGCGAGAAGATTGCCAAATTGTTTGTAGTTGCCACCTATTCGAATTTCGAGGAATAATATACAGGCACATGATTACAGTATTGATTCGTAATGGCATTAAACACGTACCGGATAAGTATATACTACGGAGATGGCGACGAGATGTAAGTAGATCCCACACAAGGGTTGCAGTTCATTACGATGGGTTGACTAGTACCCCGGGGTAGTTAAGGTATGACAAACTGTGTCACTCTTTTGCTATGTTGGCGGACTTGGTCACAGATGATGAAAGCAAAGCTGCAAGTATACAAAAATGGATCGAACATGAATGTCAAATGGTAACGACAACGAAGTCCAATGTTATTAGTAATGTCATGTCTCCACATAGTACACCGCTAGCATCGCAATGTGGGCCATCACAAGAAATTATGAATAGTGGAGTACGTGATCCTAAGTGTGCGAAAAGAAAGGGTGCACCGAAGAAACTTCGCAAGAAGAGCCCGTTGGAACCTAGTTCAAGCAAAGCAAAGGTTAATACACTAATATTACCAATTGCTTATGTGTTGTTTACTTAATATAAAGACCTTTTTGTGATGTCATGCGGTGGAGTTCGAGTACCTCCAAAGGAAATAGGCCGAAGGCACGACCAAGTAATGTCGGCGTTGAAGCACATGTCGTTCAAGTACCTCAACAGTCACAACATTGCATGACTACACCGTTCACGTATTCACAACTCCTAATGGTAAGTATATGTATATTATTAGATTAATATGACAACAAAGGACTTAAATAATAATTTTTGCAGGGTGACAACCAAAGTCTTGCATTCACACAACAAAGTTTTATACCTTCATCCGGCAATCAAGTTCACTTCCATGGTCCAGGTAAATATATAGTTAAACATTCTACCTACAAGAGTGCATCATCTATTTAATTTCTTCTTTGGGTATTACTTATCGGATTATATAGATTTTCAGGAAATGCCATACTTGTACCCACGCTTACTGGACCGACATGGAGGAAACTCACAATTTCTAGGGAAAGAGGCACCATCTAGATAAGTTTTTCCATTCAAACCAGCTTAGAAACTAATGGTGCCAACAAGTCATACAAGTCGACATGCCAAGTTGTCCACATGAAGCTGTTGCATTAAATTGGTTTTCAACACATGCTATCTTCATACAAGTTTCAACATATGCAGGAAGAGAGAGAGGGTGGGGTGGGGTTATTTACTAATATATAAATTACTACTCATACAAGCTGCCCACAATTCATGTTCATCAGAAAGCAAGCTGTATTTGTTGGTCTTTATGTCAGTTGATGAATTTGAGATCTACAAGTAGTAGTTAAAATATGTCATCATAATTTCTTTTGTGCTTGGAAACTTTGTTAAAGAATTTCTTCTGTATTTGTAATGTTGTTCTTTTTAGGATAATTTGTAATGTTGTTGTTCAATTCAACTAATTTTCAAATCTCCCTCTCTGTTAGTAGGAAATTTCACGCATTTGTTTCACTAAAGGAAACAAAGTCAAATGCAATCCAATTCGAAAGCATAACAGAAATAGCATTCAAAAGAAACTAATGGACATTTGATATACCGATAACAAAATGATTGAACTTCATATGGTGATTGATTACAAAAATATATAGCCCACAGATAGTTCCAATCTTAAAAACAACATTTTCCTACCAGCCTCGTAACTAGCTAATGCACTGACATGTAGTCATTCATAATTCCAAACTAAGAAACATTTGATAGATACACAGAGACTTCAAACTAGTGTAGAAAATCGTGCGCCCCTTTCCTTTCTCATCACATTCCGCATTTACCTTTCCTTTGCGTATTGTAGCGGTTATCTCCACGTCTTCTTCTTGAGTTAATCAGCACATCGTTTTGAACATGCAAGAGACGTTGTTCTCTAATTCGGTCGCCACATGATTATTGAAGGAGTTGCCGACGAAACTTAATTCACCAGACGTTTCACCATCTTTGACCCACTCCCAAAATCCGCAATTTTTTCTAGAACACTTGAACAGTTTACCTTTGTTCTTAGTGTTCTTCGCCAAAGCAAAACACTGTGCATATGCATCTCTACACCACGGGCACGGGACCTTGTTTTGGCAATTCACAAAGATGTGACCACGTCTTCTACATCCATGGCAGACTCCATCCTTTTATCCTGTCATTGTATACTGCAATAAACACACTCAGTAACACATGAAATGTGGCTTCAGTAAACTGCAATACACACATTCAGTACACATTTGACCGACACATTCTTGCAGTACACATTCAGGCATGTATGTCATATAATGAATCTCACTCAGGCTTCATCAAACTGCAGTACACACATTTCAGTGACACATTCTTGCAGTGATGTAATGCATTTCTTATAGTATACATTCAGGCATGTATGTGATACAATGAATTTCACTCAGTGACACATGAAATGTGGCTTCATCAAATTGCAATACACACATTCAGTGACACATTCTTGCAGTGATACAATGAATCTCATAATCTTGAAGTGCCCAGAGTCTCAGAACCTAAAATTTATTTTTCGAATGCAATTCTCATAAGTTTTTGTGATAGAAAGAAACTCAGAATATAAGTCAACTTTGGCTCCTTCTTGCAGTGACCAGGCGTGTATGTGATATTAAGAATCTCATATTTTGGGTTCTTACTAAAAATTCAAAAAATACACAAATTTTATCTACCGATTTCGATATGTCCATGTAAACTACAAGTTAAGTGGCTTCAACATACCCACGTAAACTACATATCAGAAGCACCTAATTTACCAGCCGATTTTACCGGAGAAGATTGTTGTTTTAGCTTCAAAGGTCGAACAAAATTATCGAGATAAATCGGACAACTGTAACTTCTTGGACTCCGGCTGCGGCGGCGTTGAGTTTTACACTGGAGGAGGAGAAGGATGAAGATGGGACGGAGAGAAGAGATGGAGCTTCGATCGCCTTCGATTCGCCTTCCACTCGCGTCTCTACATTTCATTTGAGAATTGGGAAAATACAATGGGTTGGGCCGGGGCGTGATTTTATGCCGGGTCTTCAAATTTCATTTCATTTGGTTTCGTTTATTTTAGTCTTTTTTTTTTCACCTCACTCTGTCAACCGGTTCTGTACGAGTAGCAGAACCGATTAAAGTAATGGTAGCAAAATTAAAAGATAATTGTGGCACGAATTGACAGCTTCAGAATTTCGTAAACAACTTTGGACTGATTGTATATATAAAAATTCACGTATTACCGAATTAATTTTGATACACGTGATTGATAATAATTATACTTATAAAAAAATTATTATTTTCTAACTAATTCACTTTAATTTTAAGAAATTTATGTTGATAACGTGGTATAAACTAGAGCGAATAAAAGATAGAAGCCAATAAACTTATGTATTTTATTAATAATCAAATCCCCATAATTGTATGGAAGAATTAAGGTTACAAGAATACAACAATCATAATAACTAAAGTTACAGAGGTATAGAAATCATTCATAAATATTACCATATTTACAACACTATCTATATTATGTAGTTATAATTCTGAGATTTATCATTTTATTGAAAAATTCGAAAGTATATATGAAATTTTTATAAATCTGTTAAGTGAAACTTATCTAGTTGAAAGTTGAAACTATGTAAAATAGTCCAACTTTTGCCTTTTGAATACTTAAAAATTGTATAATTGACAAATTTTAGGAATTATTAATTGAATATAGTATTTTATAATTTTATATTATACTTTTTAGAATGATTAAGTATTTAAATAATAATAGAAATATGTAACGCTTTTCTACGTTAATCTTCGTCTAGGTGCTTGATCTTCATGTCTAATTACATTTTAAACTTTTTAGAGCACCACTTTCATACAAAGAAACCTACATCTTTTTAGTTGCACAAAAGTAGTCAACATAGATCTAGCTTCAAGTCTTAAATTTGCAACATATTAAGCCTTGTTTGACAATTTTTTTTTCTTTTTTTTTTTTTGGGGAAAGAATGAATTTTTGAATAATAAATTTTCGAAGAGTAAAAAAAAATAAAAAAATTGATTTACATAAAGAATATTTTATTTTAAGAATGTGTGATTGAAAATAAGTATGAGGAAAAAAAAAGAGAAAATGGTTGTCAAACAAAGCCTAAAGAATTCAGTTTCTAAGAATTGGTAATGACAGCAAGCGATGTAAGCTTCTCTAAACATGGCCAAGCTCCTATATTTATCGAGCTTGAATTGCCCTCAATCTCAAATGCATCGACTATGAGTTCGTCGAAGAGGACGTCTCTAACAAAAGCCAGCTGCTAGCAGAGTCTCGCAAAATCTTCCATCTTTGCCTTCAATTATATTTGAAAATGCTTGTTGGGTATTTTGGTTTGACACTGCTTCACACCCAAAACAAAAAGAAGGGAGCTAATCCTAGGGCTCAACCCTAGACAGGCAGTGGAAACTATGAAAGTCCCTAATATATCCCCTTCCCGGGGCATGCCATAAGACTTTCAAGAATCCGAACTTGGTGGTTAAACTCTATTGCGGGTGAGGTACTGTAGGGGAGGTCTAGCCCAACCCTTGGAATATACTACAGCCCCAGGTGGTGAAGAGTCGATATGAAGGTGTCAAACCTTCTCGAGAATCTACACATCCCTTATCAGTGTATGGACTGCTATCTCTCGAAACTAAGATAGTGTAAGTCCTTACTATTGAAGAAAGCGGGAACGGAGAGTACCAAAGGACAAAGATTTCCAATTCCTTAGTCGGAAAGATATGTGGCCATGAAAGAGAAGTATGTATTTAGCCAAAATACATGCAACATAATCTTTGTATTTAGCTCAATCCTTTACATTTTTGTACGTCCGACAGATTGTGCCACCATCGGGGTATTTCAACGAGTTCTCAGAATGAGCTGTCAAGAACGTAGAGGGGGTAGGATGGTCAGTTGGTCAGATCTAGTATGGAAGACAGGAAAATAAAGGTATCATTTCCAAAATTTTGCCTAGACAAGAGTAATCTTTTTTAGAAATCGAATGAATTCGGTCTTATACATACACGAGGAAGGTAATCAAAAAAGAAAGAAGATAAATCCAACCTTGTCCACAAGAAAATCCCAGTTTTGATCCATGACAATAGAGCCCCATTTTTATTGAGAATATATTTTGTAACAGTCATTTTTGGATTATATGTGGTTCAAAAGTAGGAAAGTAGTTTAAGTTTACGTATAAAATTAGTTTATTTGAAGAATGTATAAGTAAAAATGAATGAGCAAAAAATGAGTTTTAAAAAAAAAATAGGGATCAAACATGTGCTAAGACTATTTGCAAGTTACTTGTCACTGTGCAATACATTGATGAATCTTGGGCTAATGATCCTTCGCTTCTCCCATCTGATCCTCACGATCATGCCATATTCTGGACAACCTACATTGATAGTATGGTACAATCATTTTTCTTTCATTGAATCGTTTCATCTAAAAGCTTAAACTGCTGCAAAAAGATATTTATTTATTTAAATTTAGTTTTGAACATGTCCCTTCATGTTGAGGTTGGTTCATATTATAAATCAAAGGTTTGAAACCTGCACAATTTAAATGATAGCCGGTTCTTCTTTAGTTTTGTCTCTTTTTGATACAATGAAGGCGTGTTTAACAGAATATTGTTGTTTTGCACTGGTTCACATTAATAATAGAGCTCAGAATGGCACAAAAAGAGATGTAGAACGGGCAAGAATAGAGAAAATACAAGAAGGGCTTACACTGTTCAAAGATGCTTTCAACAAATTTAGCGAAGGCAAAGGTTTCTTCAATGGGGATAATATTGGGTTTCATGACATGTCTCTACGTTGTTTTATGGTATGGCTTAAGGTTGTGGAAATAATTGCAAAATTCAAAATGCTTGATGAAAATACAATGCTTGGCCTTGTGTGTTGGACTCTCAAGTTTTGTTCTCATGAATTCGGGGAAGGAATAGTGCCAAATAAGGCTGTTAGTAAAAACCGCCAAACCGAAAATCGAATCAAAATCGCATTTTAAAAATCGTCGGTTTGGTGCCACATGGATCTGGTCAACGAAATGGTTTTGAACCAAACCAAATCGGTCAAAACGGTTTGGTTTAGGTTTGAGAATTTTAATTGCGGTTTAAAACCAAACTGGACCGGTGAAAAATATATAAAAATAAAAAAAATGAAAAAAATGAAAAAAATGAAAATTTTTAAAAATTCATCCAAATATGTAAAATTTAATAGTTTTGTCATTTGTGGGTATTTTTGTCAATTTCTAATTTTCTAATACGGATATATTAATATTATCCAATAATCCTAATTTATATCTAATAATTTCAAGATTAACACAATCTATCAAAAACTCTTTTCCTTTTCAGAATTTAGATGAACTCTAGCCGATAACCAACACAATCTTGAGCTACCGTCACAACACATTTCCTTTTCATATTTTTTTACGCCTCTTCAAAGTTGAATTAAAGTCCATTATATCAAATCAAAGACAAAGAGATCATAAACCTTCGGTGATAATATTTGCTACGAGTAAAGTTTCAGATCAATAATTTTTTTGAAGCAAACTAAGGTAAGAATCTGAAATTAAATGCTTTTCGTAACATCATACAAACATAAACTTGTGTAATTGTTAGATTTAGATATTATAAAAAATTGCTTTATTATTGTGGTTGGTTATTCTCTTTGCTAATCAGTATTCTTTTTTTTTTTTTCAAATATGATGACCACGAGATCTTATTGGACATCATTATATTTTTTGGGCCTTATATCTAGTTTAGTAGACTTGTATTGTAACTTTATTGTGTCATCATTAGTCTAAAAATGGTAAACTAAAATTAAAAAAAATTATATTTTAGTTTATTGTGATTTCACTTTGATTTAGTTGGTATTTAAATTTATAGTAGATATATTTAGCCTCTATTTGAGTCATATTTTTTATATCATCATAATGAGAAAATTGACTGTTGAAGAGGAGGCTGGGCCCCACACATGAAACAACGGATCAACAAAGGCCGCTGGACTTGTGGGATAACGGTCCAAATTTTCATTTTTTGTCCCAAAATTTGGTTTAAACAGGAGCTTAGTTTGTTTTAGATTTATTGCTAATAAGATATAAATATATATTGAATTCAATGAATTAATGACATAAAAGTAGACAGGTAAAAATATGGCGAAATCGACGGTTTAAAACCGGACCAAACTGTTAGGTTTATATTTGAGTTTTTTTTTCAAACCGTTCAAAACGGTTTGGTTTAAGTTTGAAATTTTCTCAAACCGATTTAAATGGTTTGGTTTGAAAATCTGTCAAAAATCGGACTGCTTACATCCCTAGTGCCAAATGCTGAACAACATGTAGAGTTTCATAAGAAATTTCAAGCTCGAGCAAGAAATGCAGGGTATAGTTTAGGTGGCGTTTAAAACGGTCAGGCATAATAAGGACTTGATGTTTTTGCTCGATCGTAATGTTTTCTCAAACCGTCTCCTCTAAGAGTTAACACTATTAGAGATGGGAGGGTGTTTGAAATAAAATAACTGTATGCTTATTTAATTTCTCTTTTGCAACTCTCTGCAATTCACTGGTTTTAACCATGTTAGAAACCATTCAAAAGTGCTGTTATTCTGAAAGGGTATATGATTTGTCAATCATTTTCTGAAATTTTATTGTGGGATGGATAGATTTTCCCACACTGCATTTTCCTTTTTCACTTTTTTCCTAGTTGTTTTGAATATTTCAAAAAATATATCAATAAATCGAGTCAATTAGCAAAGAGGATTCATGTAGTTGATCCCAACCTTATTAAAAATAAATAAATAAATAAATGAAAATAAAAATCTTAGCATGCTGTTTTTTTGTTCTATTTTTGGTTTTTCCATGACCATTCATATATGTTCAAATTATGGGTGCAAAACATATACCAGTGCACCGTACAAGGTCCACAATGGGACACATCATTTGTCAATCCACTTGAATCAAGCCTAGCAAGCCACACAAACAAGTTAGAGAAAAAAATTTAGGTGAAAAAAAAAAAAATTTGAAAAAAACAGCCACAACAGTCGCTCAGCAAAGCATTTACCAATTCATTTTGATCCCTCTTGTAATAAATATTATCTAATAACACCACAAATGCAAAATTTCTAACACGTTATCATTTACAGCACTGCATTGTTGATTACTTTAGTTATGCTTCAACATCAATTGATATATAACTATAGTGCTTCCGACAACCTACCTTCAAAATTAGCTAAAAACGAAAACTAAAATCAAAACAAGCCGCCCCTCCAAACAACTCGTTACACCAATTCCCCCTGCCCCCCACCTTCTTCGGTAACTCAATATCACAGGCCCTCCACTTAACCACTTATTTATATATATATATATATATATATATATATATATATATATATGAAAGTCCATTAAGATCAATGTTGATTAAATCTAATATTGTGGAACCTCCTCTTTACACTTAACATGGTATTAAAGTCCATTAAATTCAAACGAGCAATTTGATCCAATTAATAATAATAATAATAATAATAATAATAATAAATGAGTATACAAATTTCAAGATTGACCAGCTTAAATGAAAAACCATCTTATTGGAGCATGTTAAGAGATATATCTTACATCAATAAAGATGAAAATAATTTATTAGAATTTGAGCTACTCCTATTAATAAAGTTAATATTTAAGATGAAACATCAAATCTTAATATGAGCTCAAAACTCATTTAACTCCAATGAATATTTGCATCCGATTAAGACAGAAAAAAAAGTACGTAAATTTTCATGATTGGTTTGCTCAAACGAACCATTATCTTACGGGGTACAAAACGGGATAAATCCCACGTCAAATAAAGAGGAAAATACATATATTTTAATATTTACTAGATATCCTTTAACAATATGAAATCTCTGAGTAAATATATTTAATTCTTCTTTTTCCTTCTTCTTATGTAGCACACGTTTACTCATAAATCAACTTTTTTTTCACATTCAATCTCCTTAAAATCATTTCAAATTTCACATAACGCGAGCTAAATGCTGAAAACAAAAGAAATATTTCATTTACATTAGAAGGTTGAATTTAAATTATGAATCAATAGACTAGCAAACGCTTCTTCTAATAAACATTTTAAAAGAAATTATTTTATGTTTTTTCCTCACTACTGTGGTCATTTCCATAATATTTCCATTTATTGGGGTCAAAATGAAAAATAACTGATGCTCGCTTAGGTGGATATATTGGTTGATCGAGCTGCATCTAACACCAAACTGGGTACCGCCGTACGGAGGCACTATGAATAGGCATGCTAGAACTCGTTCCACTTGATCGTGCCCATGATTGAGATCTATATATGTGTGTGTGTGTGTGTGTGTGTGTGTGTGTGTGTGTGTAATGCTACTTGGATAGGGTTTGTAGACAGGGATATTGACATGTGCTATGTTGTTATCACCTGTTTAACTCCTTTTCTCTTTAATTGTCCAATCAAAATTTGACACGTATTTCCTTAAATAAAATTTGTCAATGACCTTGTTCACGTAGCTTTACTCATAAAAAAAACCTCATTTCCCTCGTGTTCACTCAATTACAACTCTAAAAGAACCACAACCCACAAGAAATCTTTCTATCTAAGTGAAATAAAGAACAATCACACATCGAAAACCTATCATCATCATGTGTAACCTATCCAGATTCACCAATAATTAAAATCGATATCAATGGCGCCATATATGGGAACCTTCTAGATTCTTAAGAACAAAAAGGGTCATGTCCTGCACTAGGAGAGGCCGTCAGCGAAATAACCCAACCTCATCATCGGTGCTAGTAGGAGAGGACACACAAATAAAGTTTATTGAGTAAGCAATACGAAGCTATACAAAATTAAGTGGCTTTGGAGGCTTTGTGGCCATGCTATAAGGAAATTCCACTAATCAGCAAACCAACAAATGGTCTGCTATCTGTGATCCCTTTGCCCAAATGCATGTACATGCCCCACTAGTCCATGGTCTACCGTCACTACAAAACATGCATTTGCCACAATCATTCGAAGAACATAGGAGCCAAAAGATAGATGAGGCTATCTCTAATTGAACGAACAGAGTACGATCGATCCTAATCAATGAGGACTCTTAGTTTTAAGTGTAGAATAATGTAAGCGCCACTCTCTTCGAAATTCAAAGAATAAAAAATAAATTTTTTTTTTTTTATAGAATAACTGACCTGATAGACAACCTATGTTTCTTTCAAGACTTGATATGATTGCACGACATACATAAACCAATAGCTTGTTGAGCGTTCCCGATTGTTAGGATCTTCCTTAAACTGCTCAAAGTGATTTTCGGGCTCAGTTAACCATTAAACATCGAATTCAACACCAAAACCAAGAGAGACCGAACCGCCGGCTTCAACTCCCCTATGGTTGCTATTTCCTCTTTCGCTTGTTGATTCAACCATACAAGTAAGAGTCACAAAGGCTCAAGCAATTGGCATGGAAGAAAAATCACGAAGAAGAAGGCAGACGTTCTCTCTAGCTCTCGGGTTCTATCAAAACGGGGTAAAGAGTAGAAAGAAAACCACCAATATATATATTAGTTAAGTGGCCAACATAAGGTAAGTCAAAATATGGTAAGTAGGCTCGACTAGGGTTAAGTCCCAATGGAAAGAAACGACAAGCCACAAAGAGTATTAGCCATCCAATAGGTAAAGCAACGTTTGGTTAGTTCATCCATTATTCGATGTTGAATTATCGTTCAGTCATTCATGTCGACTGATAAAATTGATTTTCATCATCGCCCGGGAAGTCGTTTGACAAAATGATGTCTAACACCGATGACATTGAGGAATGATGGAAGGGAAACATATGATACATTACCACTACCATCGATTACCTCTTTTACAAATTTTACAAATAAGTTCACAACATGTTTCTCAAGGAGTGCTAGGAAGAAGAAAAAGTTGATCAAGCTGATGTAGGAGATAGGTGATCTGGGGTAAAGATGACCATCTACGATACTACATCGCACGATTCAATATAGCAACTTTGGTGATAAAAGACCTATAAATATCATAACTCATCATAGCCTTTGTGAATGGTCTTAGGAAAAATGGTTTCAAAACATCATTATTGAAATGACATCCTGAATCAGTGATCGAGTTATTGCATGGAAGATAAGAAAATATAGATTGTGAAAAATTATTGAATGTGATTAGAGAATTTCATGAAGGAGAGAGGTGAGTTAATTGGCATAAACAGAAAACATGAGAATCAGCTAAACCAGCAAACGAAAAAGAAGCATCGACCCTTTGATTATTGATATCTCCCTTAAGGAGGTTTGGTCGATGCTACATCATATACCCTATCAATGATGACCTTGGTGAAGGGTCTCAAAGAAAAATGAATTTTTAAAGAACTAAGGTGGTTGGAAAAACTGAAAAGTGCTCCCACTAGCAGCGATCAGATTTGTTTCTACGACTTCCAGAAAGATCACGACGACACAATCGATAAGTACAAAACCCTCAAACAAGAAGTTGAGAGGCTAATAGCCCAAATATAAGTAAATCAATTTGTAAAGAGCAAAGCTAGTAAATAGGACAAGCGAACTGTGCAAGCAGGGGTTATTAATATGATTGTGGACGGGTAAGCTGACCGAGGAGACTCGATTAGGTCGAAAATGATACGCCCATTCTTTGTAGAAAACATTTGGTGATGAAAACTTAATCATGGTCTCCTTTCCTCACAATGATATTTTGGTCGTTGTAGGAGAAATAGCTGCTTCGACATCAAAGTGTTAGTCAAAACTAGAAGTGTAGTAAATGTACTGAGTTGGAAAGCTTTTATAGTTTAAAAGATATCAATCAAGAAGTTGAAACCTCTCAACATATTGGTAGACGGGTTTGGCGGATCTACAATAAATTGAAAGGTATTTATTGACCTACTTCTTGTTACATTGTAAAAATATCCGACAAGCGTGTTGATCGTTACGTCATTTGTAGTATTACGCACCCCAATGGCTTAAAGCATGATCGATAAATAACGTTTACTTAATATGTTGTCGTGGCTAGACTCGTTGACACCCTCATAATCAGAGGGATGTTCGCTATGAAATTGCAAACATAAGTGCACGGATCGTGTCTAAATAATAAAGTGAATTTATTGAGTCCGAATTATCGATGCCTCAAGGAATATTTACTTTAAATTACAGAACTTTAATCAATTTAATTTTTACAATGAAAACAAACACAATTAAGATTTTAATTTAATAAGGAAAAATTAATAAAATTCTACAAAATAAGAAAATATTAACACTTGAAAATTTCGGATGAAAACATGACTGTGATTCATTGTTTTGCTTAACTATTGTCTATTTAATTTTTCCAGAAGTTAATTAACAAATAACTTATTCACGATGTAAGATTCGATTTTTCAATTTCAATTAATCATTTCTCTGGAGCGAAATGCACCCTAATTGATTTATTTAACCTAACATATCTTATGTCGATAAAAATCAGATAATCATATTAAATCTTCGTGAAAATAGTTCAGTGAGTATCCTAGGGTTAGAAGTAAATCTCTATCCCTTATAAGAAGCTAGGTTGTTTACTATTTGGTCTAAAATGTACAATCTTCTCTCAAAAATCACTTAACACAAACATTTATTGGCCAATTAAATGAATAGTATGAAAATCAATAGTAAAATATACATGAACATAAGTAATTTAACAGCAAAGAGCAAATAGTGAAATCAAATAAAGCTAAGTCAAACTACTACCATAAATTTCAACATCAAGAATTTAGCCCATTTTATACAAACTAGTCAAAGTTGAATGTACATTGCACGTTACTCTAAAATACTTTATAAGTGATGTAAATGTAATATTTGATATCAATTTGTTGGAGAATTTGATGAGTCTTGAAAGAATTAAAGAAAATAAAATTTAACATAGAAATTTAAAAGAAGAAAATCGTACTCAAATTATACTCTCAAAACTCAATTGATATGTTTCGAATTTTTTGTAATGACGAAATACTATAAATAAGCAATCTTTCTATATTACATTTGATATATAAAAATTAATTGCTAATACATAAATTTAAACACTCATTAAAATTTTCAAATGCATGAATATGAATGAATTCATCATCCATAATAACTTTAGATTCATGTAATTCAATATTCATTAAGTGAAAATTCATTGAATCTAGATTAATGTTAATGTTAATTAATTGAGAATTAACAACAGAAATTTCATAAATGACAATAATATTGTAATATTTACTACATATCGAAAAATGAAAAATAAGGTATTATTAAAATAATTAAATTGTAGGTGGGTTAAAATCGTCCAAAAAATAATTCACCTTTGATGTGATATTTTAATATATTATAGATGATAGAAAAAAGAATATTTCATACAATACATCACAAATGGGACAAAAAAAATAATAATAATAACGGAGTAAATCCAAAATAAAGATAAAACCACCGTTTTGGTTAAATTCTTGAAAATTGCTATAGATTAAACTTGAATTTTCCCTAATCCATTCCTCATTCTTTGAGATTTCTCCTTTTTTGGTTCTAATTCTTCTCCAAAATACTAAGAAAATGAAAGTGAAAAATGAAGAAAGGAAAAAGAAATGAAAAGAAAGAAAATGAAATGAAATGAAAAAAAAAAAAAAGAGGGATGCATAATGCCCCGGTGGCTGCCGGTTTCTATGTTTTAGAACCCTCAAAACTTTTCCAAAATTTGCAGCCATGGACCCCGAGTTTTGAAGAAACAAATAAATGATCCCTAGTTGAAAGTCATGGTGTTCTTCCTGTTTAGGAGTGTCAACGAGCCGAGCCGAGCGAGTCTGCTCGCGAGCCAAAAATCGAGGCTTGAGCTTGGCTCGAGCTTTTTGAAGACGGGCTTTTTTTTACCCGAGCCGAGAAAAAGCTTTGCCCGAAAATTGAGGTTCAACTCGGGCCTTACCTAGCCGAAATGGGCCGAGCCGAGCCGAGCCGACTAGATTTTTTTTCCCTTTTTTCCTTTAAATCTTACACAACTATTTTTTTCCGAGCTGGTTTGCGAGCCACATGGATTGGCTCGGGCCTAAGCTTGGTCAAACCGAGCCAACTCGAGCTTTTTGCTTGCCGAACCACGGGTGGTTTGAGCCCGCGAGCCTTTTTGCCATCTCTATTCCAGTTTAGTCCCTTGCATATTCGCGCATCAGGTGCCTCAACTTTGATCTTGTACAATTTAATTCTCGAATTTTTGTTTTCATTTCAATCACACCCTCTATAAATTGCATCCAAGTTCCTTGAAC